CACTTTGGGAGGCCGAGGCGGGTGGATCACGAGGTCAAGAGATCAAGACCATCTTGGTCTACATGGTGAGACCCCCGTCTCTACTAAAAATACAAAAAATTAGCTGGGCATGGTGACAGGTGCCTGTAATCCCAGCTACTCAGGAGGCTGAGGCAGAAGAATTGCCTGAACCCAGGAGGCGGAGGTTGCGGTGAGCCGAGATCGCGCTCCAGCCTGGGTAACAAGAGCGAAACTCCGTCTCAAAAAAAAAAGTAATACAACAATTGTGTAACTGCTATGGAAGGGCGACTCACTCAGACATGTAGCCAAAGATGGAGACCGATGTGGACTTAGCTGGCAAAAGCTTTCAATTGGTCAAAAAAAAAAAAAAAAAAAAAAAAAAAAACCAGATTTTAAAAGCATTGCGAGGGAAGAGCATGAGCAAAGCATGGGAGTAACGGTGGGTTCCTTCAGGGAAGGCTGTCAACCTGGAGAGGCGGGAGCAAAAACAGAGGGCAGCAAAACAAGACTAAGAGGGGGTCATGAATCCCCTCTTAGACTAAGGGGAGAGTCTCTGAGTATCTAAGAACTGAGACGTGGGTACCACTGACAGGTAGGGAAGAGGGAAGGGCTAGGAAGTATTTTAGGAAGGGAAGGGTTTTAGGAAGATAGTATTGGGGATCAATGAAGGACGGCTTGGAAGAGAAGCGAGAACTCATAAAAGAGTTTAATAGTACGAGCAAGGCTGAAACAGGAGAGTCGTTTGAACCAGGGAGGTGGAGGTTGCTGTGAGCCAAGATCCCACCATTGCACTCCAGCCTGGGCAATAAGATGAAACTCCATCTTGTTTAGTGAAACAAGATGGAGTTTCACTAAACTCCATCTCAAAATGCATAAATAAATTAAATTAAATTAAATAGTATGAGCAAGGAAGAATGAGGTCTTGAACTAGCGCAGCCTCAGTGGGAATTTAAAGATAGAAATTAAAGGACCATTGCAGAGGTGAAACTTGCCTGGTGATAACTGGATGGGAAGGATAATGGACTCAGAAGAGTCCAAGATGATAGCAAAGGTCCTACCCTAAGTGGTAACATGTGGCATTAATGTTGACAGGAAAACTTCTAGTTTCATGTTCATACCAATTAATAAATGGTTTCTGGGGAACATTGTAGCAACAAGTTCTCTACTTGTGACTTCTATTTAAATAACTTTGTATAGATCATCCTCAAGTTGCTCGAAAAGGTTATTTTCAAACTATTTTCCCAGTTTATTTAACACATCTCAGTTAGTGTAGAAGAGTGACATATGAATGTGTATTTTCACAAAGTTATTAAAAAGAATACCTTACTTCTCTAAAAATAATTGCATTGTTTCCTAAATTATATACATCTACATGAAGAAGAGGTCATTGTCTGATGGCAATTTGCCAATGTGCTGTCCAGCAGCAGATAATCCCGAATTCACAACGTGTTAATAATCTGCTGGCTTTCCCATTCTGTTATACATCTGAACCATCTCTTATGATTGCAAATTGTCATGTAAAACCATTACTAGTCACTGATAATTTTGAAAGTGAATATGCCATAAAACACTCCTGTATTACAGCAGGAAACAAAAGAGACACTCAGTAGTTACACTTGCCTACTTCCTATTTATCTAAAACTGTTAAAACAACTCAAATATAAAATACATCCAGAAAGGATTTATGGACTTCCTGCCTTTCGCCATAGATTTATTGCTGATGTCCTGAAAACTGAAAATAAAATCTTCATTAAAACCCATTTATGTCTAGTGTTCCATTATTGCAATTCTAAGCTTGTGGGAATCATGTATATCCTACTGTTCAAAGGTCATAGCCAGGGTCTGATTTTTCACACACACAAAAAATTTGCAAACTCCTGCATAAATAGGTTAATGTGGTAGTAAAGTATCAATTATATACGTAAGATGTACATTTCTAGGTAAAATTTCCAATTTACCTTTTCCTGTTCTAAATAACTCCCACAAAACTATTCATGAATCCTAAAAACACATTTACCAATTATATTAAATCTGGAATAATACATTCAAAGTGAAAATGGTGAGTAATTTAAAATGTATAACTAAAATGTCTTTCCATACATTCAGAAAGAAGCAGACTGTCTTCTATTATGCACGTTGTATTTTATAATCTATTATGTTACCAAATAGAACAAACCTTTATGAATTGCTCACGTAGCAGCTTCATCGCTGTCAGTCTCTCTCTCCTAAGACTTCTATATCGGTACCACCTCTTCTGTTGTTCTTGAAATATTTTCTAGAATTACAAAACAAAATAGTGGTAAAAATTGGGCAAATTTTAATACTTACAAAACATAATTCTGCATTAACTTTAAAGGAATACTCTTTAAATCAATATTTCTGAACACTTTCTTTTAGACAACACTTAGGACGAATTTGAAACAACTGCATTCACCAATCACATGCTAAAATGATGTAATAACCTTTTTTATCCGTCATTGAGTAAAAAATTTTCTTTCTTATACATATTCAACACGTATGTCCTAATTCTTGATTTCAAATGAAGACTATTTGATGAACCTTCCTATAATTTGTTGACCATAGATAGGTAAGATCTACACAGAAATTAAAAAACATTCTAAGATTTTAAACATGTATTAAATTTTGGTCATTTCAATATGCACATAGATGAACCATCCAATAATGACTGCCTTTCTACACCTTCACCTAGTCTCCAACTACCAATTACAGTGTTCTCCTCTCCTCCATGTAGCGCTCACTCGCACAGTCATCCTCCTAGATTTTGTCATTCCCAATGACTTCAACACCTACGTAATATTAATAATAGCAACAATGAAGAGCAACCATGGGTCAGATCACATCCTGAAAAATTTAAATAAACCTTTTACATAGGAACCCTTTAATCCTCCAAACAACTCTGAGGTAGGTACTCTTACCATGTCTCCTTTAGTAGATAAGGAAACTGAGGCACAGAGATAAATAATTTGCCCATGATTTCCGAGCTAGCAATAGCCAAACTGGACTTGGATCCCAAGCAGTGTAGCTGCAGAGTCTCAGACCTTGACCACCACATTCAGCTGTTTCTCCATCTTCCCAACATACAGCCACTACCTCCCTGCCATTGTGGGTCACTCACTTCAGTACTACAGCTCAAAAGTCTGTTGGGACCTGACACCCACTGAATGGAGTACTTTTCACTGACCATTGCCCACCCCCATGTGATCAGGTAACTCAGTCCCAGCTGAAATTCCATCACTGGTTGTGATGACCACAGCCAGTCATCACAACCCCATCCCTGTATCTATGCGCTGCCCAACTCTCCCTAGATCAACACGCTCAGCTACACTCCAACCCCAAAAATTCCAACCCTACAGGTGTTCTTACACAAATATGCCAATTGGGCTTGCTTTAACTTCTTAATCGCTATGACACTGACTTCAGTTTGACCCCTAACGCTGCATGGCAATTATGTTCCCCTAGTCCATGAGTCCACTAACGGGCCCCCCTCTCTGGGCTCATGCTCTCTTCCTTCTTTGCTGGATGTCTGCATGAATTAATACTACCAGAGACATTGATACAATAGGTTAATCATAAAGCTAAGCCTGATACCAACAATCAGTTCTTCTTCTTCTCCCTCTTCTTCTTCTTCATGTTTCTGCTCATCTGTGATGCATTCATCAAGGACATTCAGCAACTTCAGAGAATGTTTATAATCACGTTTCTGCCTGTAACACATAGTAAGTAACATGGTCATATGTCATAAAGAGATGAAAAATTAATCCTATTCAAACCCAAACTGACTTGTCATAATTTATACTGTAAAGTAGCAAGGGAGTAATAGCAGCTGAAATCTTGTTTGGGGGGAAAGGTGAAATGAGTTGCTCTCAATCTGAAGGGATTCCTTCCTAACTGACTACTACAGCAGCTATCTTACATTCTTTACGTGCCAAAGACAAAGGAGGGTTTACTGCAGTATAAATCTCTCAGAAATAATCATTTTCTCTAAGAGCAGTTTACTTTTCATTTCCTCTTACTGAACAACATATGGGTTCTCATAAGTAGGTTCAAGAATATCATAGCCAATCATCCTGTAAGATTTCCCAAAAGAAATAACGATTTCTCCACTTTGGCACAACAATGATTTTGTAAAAGAAATAGTGAAACAATTTAACTAAAATAGATAACTTATTTACAACATAAGGTTATCCCTTTCTACATAATTGAGTATCGTTAAGGATGTACAGACTAAACATTGAGGACATTTATCTTTTATTCAGCTTCCATACTTCTAGAAATGGATAAAAATTAATTTTATAGGCAGACTCTTTTTATCTGGAAGGCAAAAAGAGGTCATCTTCATTGGCTTCTGGGTAATATCTCTCAATTCTGTTAAACCGAGGTGATAGAACTAAAGAAACTTACTTGCTTAGGGAACAGTCAAGTAAAATATGTTGTTCACTAGAGATGAAAATATGTACAGGACGATTTTTGAAATTATTTGCACCAATGAATACAAAGAAATAATATAAATATCATTATGCAAAAAAGCCAACATACTTTATAAGTTGTTTTTTCCTCAAAGCACGTTTACTTTTTTTCTTTGCTTTGCGGCGAGCCTCTGTATCCATTTCAGTCCTTTTTCTTTTTGCAGCAAGATCCTCGCTAATGCCAGCTAGATAGTAAATGAAAATGCACTATGTTAATGTTGACAAGTAGTTTATTTGCATATATTGACATCAATATGGGACATTATGGTTCAGCAATATCAGAAGGATATTTAAAATATATAAAGCAAAGATCATTTCAAAAAGCAAGATTTACTCACTTATTTTCTGTAAAATCTTTCAGGCATTAATATGAGTATTGCAATTCCAATTGGTATAACTGCAAATCACTTAATTGTCAGATGATGAAAAAGCAAGTAATTAAAAGTTTCTGTTTTTTAAGTGTGCAGAAAGGGTTATAAGCATAGACTTTAATTTCTACATTTATAAAATGTCCTACAATCAAGGGACATGGTTCCATGAAATACTGTCACAACTGATTATGTAAAGCACACGAAAAAGTATCTTATTTAATAAGACCACCAAAATGGTAGAAATAAGTTAATACGCAATAAGAAAAGTATTTTTAAGCAATCTACTGATTTATGCTATTAACTGTATTTTAATAAAAGAAGCAACATCCATGGGTATGAAAATGTAGGTTTAAATAAAGAAATACATTCAAAAACACTTTTGAAATACTTTCTTGGAGTTTTTATATGACATTTTTATCCATAGTGTTGTGTTTCAGAAAACTGTAATACTGCAAGGAATGCTTTCCTAAACACGATTTTGCATAAGAGATCTACCATCAAGCACTAAGAATAGTTTTCAGCAATCATAAAATATCTGCACCATAATACAAATATTTTTCAAATACAGTATCGATCTATAACACACTCAATGTATTAGGCAACTCACAAAACCAACACTTTGTCACCACCAAGTGAGCAAAGCTTTCCAAATATTCTGCTTGTATGAATTATCACTATAGAAAAGCTGAAAACTGAATTGAGCTTTTCAAAAATAAGAGTATTGTCTCCACTGTCTCTACAGAAATTTTCTCAAACATTTTTGAAAATATGGTCCTATAACAGTGCAACTAATATGTCACATGGCAATACAAAATTTACAAGTTTTTGGATCCAATGACATGTTTCTCACTGGGTAGAAGTTGTCTTTCCTTTTCTACTACACAGTTTATTGCTGGAATAATAATAGAAAATCATTTTAGAGAATTCAGTTTTCTCTTGTACTTTAAAGACAACAAAATCAGAAAGCTGTGACAACAGAATAGCTGAATTAGGAAGATGAAAAACTCATATTAAAAACTCTGGGTACATAGGGACAGGAAGAGGGGAACAACAGACACCTGGGCCTACTTGAGGGTGGAGGCTAGGAGGAAGGTGAGGATGAAAACCACCCATCAGGTACTATGCTTATAATCTGGGTGACAAAATAATCTGTATAGCAAACCCCTGTGACATGCAATGTATCTATGTAACAAACCTGCACATGTACCCCCAAACCTAAAGTAAAAAATTGAAAAAAAACTGATATATGACTTAATCTGCGTACACCAAAAGGATTGAATAGACCTGTTTCTCCTCCAATGGCCTCTAAAATCCCCCAAACAATTAAATTTCCATGTGTAAGAAAGAAAAGCCATCCCTCTCGCTTCACCATTGTTAGAAGCATTCTCACATTCAACATCAACAATCAAAAAGGTAAGAAAAATTTATCAAACAGATTATGGTAAATACTTATGTTAAATGCTACATATAAGAAGAAGGCATTTAAGACAGTCTTGTTGTCCACTAATTCATATAACCTGCTGTAACAGTTGTATGGCTGAAAACAATTTTCATAAACTACAGATACTTCCTAAAGCATACCTGCAGTATCTTCTGGCTTCTTGGTATCAACCCTATAAAAAAAGTTACAACAAAATTTTAACATAGGACTACACAAAATGCCATGTTTGTTGGGAAAAAATGTCTTACGTGAAATGTTCTGCATAGACTAGAAAAGTGATAACATGATCCAAAGCTGACTTTTCCTAAAAGACTATCCGACAGGCAACAGTGACTTAACACTTTACCCCTTGTGTTCATCTGTTTCAGCAAAAGGTTCTATTTCGCCATGCCCAGTAGTTACATCTTCCTCCCCTGTTTCTGTAAAAGGATTTCTCTCCTCACGCTCATCGCTTATTGGATCCTTTCCTGCATTAAAGTAAAAAAGACAAATTTTTAGAGGAAGACGGTATTGTGGACATTTTTCACGGAGAAATGTACTATTTGCGGACTTTTTTGGCTCTCTGCCAATTAAAGCTTTAAAGCAGAGCTATACATGGAATCACCGGCTCCTGACCATTTTATGGTGACATTTTTGGAAGCCCTTCGGGTTGAAGTCCCAGTAAACAGGGCACTAGAGGCCAGACTCCTTGGACCACTACAGGTCAGACCTCGCAGCCATGAAGAAGAGCTGGTCTGAGATCATCTTTAACCCTGCTATGAGGGGAAGCCTCCAACCGGAAGCCTAAGGGCCTTGAGCCTGCTTTGAAAACCTGGGGCGTCTTAGCACTTGCACGGTGGACTCCAAAGCCACGAAGGGCCGGGGGCCCTCGGGCTACCCATGTGACCCCCGCGCAGAAAGCAGACAGACTGTCCTCGGGTGTGCGCCTTCTTCCGGGTCCGCTTGGGCTGTGTTTACCTGCATGCTCCTTCTCGTGGGCGGCCATAACTTGAACCTTCAACTGGGCCTTGGCAGCCCTCCTGCTGCGCTTCCTGCTGACGGGTGCCATGGCTGGCCGTCCTGGGAAGCTACAGGCGACCCCTGAACCTGATGAGCGCAAAGACAACTAAGGAAGCTAAGGAAAAGAGGCGTCGAAAAGGAAAGCCATCGGGATCGCGAGTTCAAGATGGGTGGGGCTGACCCTCCCCGAGTCTCCTGTGGGAGCAGGAGGGGACGGAGAAGATGCCAGTGTCCCCTCCCGTCCTGGCTCGTCCAGCCCGTCCCCCGGGGTGGCTGCAGAGTTCACAGCTGCCTCACACACCTCAACTCAACGGCCTCTGCAGGATCCTCCCCGCGCCTTTGGGACAGAGTTCAGCCTTGCCCCTGGATCCCCAAGAGACCCTGACTGGCTGGGAGGGCCGCAGAGTGACACAGGGTCTCCCTAGCCATCTCCAGAGGAATGTCAGGGGCTTCACTGCCACTCGCCCTCCTGGATGCACAGGGCATCCCCAGTGACCTGAAGTGTCCTGTCCTGACAGGATGTTGGGCAGGGGGGACCCACTCAAACTGTCCCCCACAACGCCCCCGGCCCGCCCCACTCCCCCTCCCACCGTCAGCCCCTCCCCCCTGCACACCTACAGAAGCCCCCAGGACACTCCGGGTCCTGGGGGGTCACGAAGGTGGCTCCAACTCCCTCCCTGCTCCAGCTCACCCCGGTCTACCCTCAGTGCCTCGCCCTGACCCAGGCCCCAGGTGAGGACCTCAGGACCATTTCCTCACAGGTCAGCCGGCACCCAGCTCTTCACACCCTGGTTCCCAGAGGGTCTCGTGCCCACCTTCCCACCTCCCCGCCTCAAGCGTGTCACCTGAGGGACCCCTGATATGTCTCCTTCACAGAACCTACAGACGCTGGCACCACAAGACTCTGTTGGAAAGAGACCCGACCTGGCTTCCCGCGCTCCTCGCTGATTGGTCAGCTCAGTGCGCATGCGGGTGAAGGACTGCGTGGCGCCAAACCCCTGCTGCCACGCCTCTCCTTCCCCCTAAGGGACCGACCATGGGTTACTGTGGACTGGAGTGGGTGTGGCTCTTTGGGGCCTCCGTCCCCACAATCTTCTGGCTCCTCCTCTTGGGGTGGGATGCAAGGACTCCGGATGGAGGCCAAGTGGACGAGGCCTCCTAGGATCTCGTCCCTGGGCTCGTTCCAGCCACCCCTGCCCCTTTGGCTGGAATGGCCATCGCCCTACGGGTGTTGCCCAGGCTCCTTTCCATGCCCTTTGTGCTTCCAACATGCCCAGTTACATCCTTTTCGTCAATGGATTGCGCTTTTATGATTTCTGTTTTTGAGACTGAGTCTTCCTCTATTGCCCAGGCTGGAGTGCAGTGGTGCAATCTCGGCTCACTGCAACCTCTGCCTTCCGGGTTGAAGCGTTTCTTCTGCCTCAACCTCCCGAGGAGCTGAGATTACAGGCTCCTGACACCATGCCCTGTTAATTTTTTTTTTTTTGTATTTTTAGTAGAGATGGGATTTCACCATGTTGGCCAGGCTGATCTCAAACTCCTGACCTCAGGTGATCCGCCTGCCTAGGCCTCTCAAAGTGCTGAGGTTACAAGTATGAGCCACCCCGCCCGGCCCATAACCCTTTTTGTTTCCTCACTATTTTTCTTGCCCATAGGCTTGCCTAGGCTTGCCCACAAACCGTCATGCTCCAGACTTTTCCAGACATATCCCACAACCTTCACCCTCAAATGCCTTAATACTTATCGTTAACTCAGCTTGTTTCCACCTCCAGTCTTCTAAAATGGGGAGTAAAGGTTGTTTTGGAGTTGGGAGTGAATAAATATTGCCTAGAGTTGGTAAATCAAGCTGCAGAGGTTCATTATGTTATAAAATTATAAAGGCAGTCATCAGGAAAACTAATCAACAGCCTTTAATGTCTATATGACCAGAAAGAGCACACACAAAGCATACAAATACTGTAGTAAAAGTTGGAAAATAAAGAAAATACTACAAACAGAGACCATAACATAACATAAAGGAGCAGAATTAAGGCCAAGTGAATCTGTTGAGCAAGAAATATGAATGAGATAAACTCACATTCTAAAGGAAATGACTTCCAACTTGGATCCAAATAAAAACCTAAGTATATGCTATATGTAAGAATGGAATCAAAATGATACAAAAATATGTATCAGAAAAATAAGAAGAGGAAAATATGGATCTGGGAATCAATATCTCACAAATGTAAAATAATGCAAAAAAATAAATGAATAAACTAAAGGCAGAGCACATTGAACAAGAGAAGGGCACAATCTACTCTGACAATCTGACATGAATCATTTTGTGCTTAACACAGCGTCAACATGCTTAAACCCAAAACCCTAGAAAAGAAAAGAAAAACAACCAATGAAATGAACAGTGTTATGAGACTTTTAACCCTGTCTATCCAGGAGAAACCAAATACAAATGTATTGTCTTGTATACAGCCATAGTATCTTGAATTGCTCTCTTGGCAGTAGAGTGAGCATTTTCTTTCACTTTCAACCAATGAACCCTCATCACATCCTATAGTACTTCCTTGGCCGTTACTACAGTCTATTCTACCTACAGTTTCCCCAAAAAATAAAAAATTAGAAAGACTTACATTAGCAAATAGGAGAAAAGTTTTCTTGTTGCTGTGTGTGTACATGTCTGCATGTGAATGTGTGTATGTGTGTGAGATGTTTGTTGTTTGTTTGTTTCAGATGGAGTTTTACTCTTGTCCCCCAGACTAGAGTGCAGGGGTACAATCTTGGCTCACTACAACCTCTGCCTCCTGAGTTCAAGCAATTCTCCTGCCTCAGCCTCTAGAGTAGCTGGAATTACAGGTGCCCGATACCACACCCGGCTAATTTTGTATGTTTAGCAGAGACGGGGTTTCACCATATTGACCAGGTTGGTCTTGAACTCTCGACCTCAAGTGATCTGCCCTCCTCAGCCTCCCAAAGTTCTGGGATTACAGGCATGAGCCACTGTGCCTGACCTGGTTTTGTTTGTTTATTTAACATGAAAGCCAGCACTAAATGATCTTCAAACTATCTTCATAACTTAAAAATACATGTTCGCATGATACCTTTTTCACTTTCAGTGTGAAAACAGCATGGAAGGTAATGTTCCATTCTGGTGCACTAAAGGATAATGGTGTTGTATTTGAGAAGAAAGGAAGGGAGCTGTGGTCTGGCAACTGTTGCCCACAGCACTGCAAAAAGCCACCTTAGAGCTGTTTCAGGCTGTTTCAAGTTCCAGGTCATTTTGAATTCCTGCCCTAGAAGCTATACATACTCAGAGAAAGAGTTCAGTCTTGGCCCATGATATTGGACTGAATACCTCAGCCACTTTTCTACAGACTAAATAACATAAACTCCTTTTACTTTTCTTCAAAGTTCTTAAAATAAAACTTCAACAATGTCTCCTTGAAGCTGTTAGGAGTGCTTCAAAATTCTCTCTTTCTTTTATATTGTCTTTTCTTGTTTGTTTGGTTTTGGTATAAAGAAAGCCTAAACCTGGATGCAGTTAGTAGGAATCTGAGAAGGCTAAGTTCAAAATCTCAGAGGAGATTTTCTTTATATTTTCTATGTTTTATATTCCTTTCATAAATTCTGATATGAATACTTTCCTAGTAAGAATATTTGTATCATAGTTTAACATTTCATTTATCTTGGTGTGCAAACTAGCATTTGTTTTATTAAAACAATCTAAATGTATTAAGGAATTAGATTAAAGGGAAATTAAATTAAAACATAATTTAAAAGAAATTATTATCTCCAAATAGAGAAAAGCAGAGGCATAAAGATGTTGTGACCGAGTCCATGAGGAAGGGAGTCAGGGAAAATGATGTACCAGACTACTGAGTGGCTTGGACACTGTATTAGTCCATTTTCAAATTGCTATAAAGAACCAAGACTGGGTAATTAATGAAGAAAAACTGTTTAATTGGCTCACAGTTCCACAAGCAATCCAGCAAGCGTGGCTGGGGAAGTCCCAAGAAAGTTACAATTGTGGCAGAAGGTGAAGGGGAAGCAGGCAACTTCTTCACATGGCGGAGCAGGAGGAAGAGAGTGAAGGGGAAGGTTCTACACACTTTTAAACAACCAGATCTCGTGAGGAATCACTCACTACCAAGAGAGCAGCAAGGGAGAAGTCTGCCCTCATGATCTAATCACCTCCCACCAGGCCCCTCAATATAAGGGTTACAATTTTACCTGAGACTGGTGTGGGGACACAGAGCCAAACCATATCAGACAGAAAGTCGAGCTCTTCATAAAGCACTAATGTTCCAAATTGGAAGAAAGGTAAGCTAGCTTTTTCCAAATGCCAGCCTCCAAAGACCTCCAGATTAAGACTTCAAACATGTTTCAGGTTTGTCACATGGCTCTCCTCTTATTGGACCTCTCTCCAGGAAAACCAAAATTTACCCCACCCACATGCTTCTGATATTATTAATGTTCCTTCCTAGGCAGACAAATCCTATCAGAATTTCAAACCTACCCTAAATGTTTCCTCTTTAATGCAGTCGTTCACCCAATCCTTTTAAATATGTGAGACACTCTTTCTCTTTGCAATGCATTTAGAGCTTTTATCTGTCATGGGAAATTTGCCTTATATTGCGGTTATTTGGGAAGTCATATTCCCCATTAAACTACATCTGAAGGTCAAGAACAGTTTTGCAGGTATCTGTATAATATGGAGTACTCGATGTACACCGACCATATTGAATCTGACAAAATTGAAATTAATGGAGCTTTTTATCTTTAAAACAGAAAAATAATAACGAAAAAGCACAACTCACAGAGTACTTGAACTTACATCGTTCTGCTAAGTGGTATTTTTATGAGTCCTAAATGCTCTGCACTATGCTAATGAAAGACAAGATTGCAAATTATTGCCTGGGCTTCCCAGAGAGATGTTGGCACAGGACTCTGGCCTGCTAGTTTAAAAAAAAAAAAAAAAAAACCTTTTCTCTCAGCATAGAAAAACAGGTTCCTGATTTGTGTAGTAGAGGCCAGCTCCTTTCTAAATTATATGCAGACACTGCTCTGTGTATTTTAAGTGAATTGGTGTCTTTATGTAATCTCTGAAGGTCTCCATAATTCCTTGTTAACATGATGGGGTTTCTGATGTGCTTTTCTCCATGCACAATCATAAGTTACTACAGAGAATGGCACTCAGAAGTCAACAAAAGCTCTTTATCAAGTATGACTACAAAATAATAGAACTCAGATGGCATAATATAAATAAATGCTTCTTTGTCCCCCAGTTTATCATATGAGATGCTATACATATAGGACATCCATGCTATCATTGATCAAAATGATTATGAAAGTACTTTCAGCAGCTAGGGCACATTCTTCTAAACATTCCTAAATATGTCAGCTCTCCAAAATATCAGGGGTGTGTGGGTTTTTTGAATACCCAAAGTTGTTAAAAATCAATTCTGGGGCCAGGATCCTAACTTTGGTGTGTGTACACATGCTCACACATTTGCAAAGGTGAATGCTTGTGTGTGGGCATGTGCACATGTGCATGCATTCGTGTGCATAGATATTAATGTGCATGGTGAAAATATGCAGATGTATGAATAAGCATGCCTTTTATCTCTATATCAGCACAGGAAGAAGCATGGAGCAGCAAGCACTAGAATGATACATCTCACCGTCCCTGGGTCTGGGAATTTCAGATACATTTTATAATATTTTCTTGTTTATTTATATTTTCCAATTTTTCTATACAAATTTCTTGCTTACGTAAGAAGCAAATAAAGAGGAAAAAAGGAAAAAGAGAGACAAAAAAAGTATTTCTAAAACCTTCAGAAGTCTATGAATTCTGATGAATGCAGTAGTCTATTAGTTTCCCACTGCTGCTGTAACAAATTACAACAAGTGAGTTTCATAAACAATAAAGATGGATTATCTTACTGTTCTGGCTGTTAGAAATCCCAAATGCAACTCA